AGTGTAATATAAGATACAATAATAATTTATAAATTATCAAGGGTTTATGGTGGAGAGGGGAGGAGGAAGGGAGGGGAGGGGAAAAAGGAAAATGAGCTGATTCCAGGAACCCAAGAGGAAAGCGTATTTTGGGAACAATGAGGGCAACAAATGTATAAATGTGCTTTACAAAATTGATCTATGTATTGTGATGAATTGTATGAGCCCCAAGAAATTGATAAAAAAATAAATAAATAAAAGCAATCATATAATATGTGGGGAAAAAAAGAAGAAAAGTTCTCCGTACTTTTCGTATACTAACAATTCTCATTTTGATGGTGGATACGTACTAGGTGTATAGGACCTGTCCAGCCAACAAGTCCTTGGCCCATTTTTCATTCAGTTTGTCTTCTTCGTTGTTGTTGTTGTTAAGGTTTAAGAATTCTTTATCTTGTCTGGATATTTAATTCTTATCCAACATCTGGCTTCCACATTTTTCTCTCAGTCTATAGATTGCCTCTTCACTTTGTTTATAGTTTTTCAATGAACAAAAGCATCTCAATTTTGATGTGATCCAATTTGTTTCTTTTGTCCTTTGTCAGTTGGCATCATGTCGAGAATTCGTTGTTAGAAACTGGCTCCAAGGGCTGTGACTCGCCTGGTTGGCATGCAGAGGACATTGGAAAGCGGATAACTGCAAATGCAGTGAGGTTACGATTTAGCACCCATCATTTGATCTCCCTTACGACCCACATACATTTGTTCTAATTTTAAATATGTTCTGCTTTCTTATCCTTTTAAGTTTTTATCTGTTTTACTTTGTCACTACTGTTAGTTTTTTGTTTTTAATGGGGGTTTTGTCTGTATATGAAACTCAGGATAGGTAAATCTATAGAGACAGTAATTGGATTCATGGTTTCTTGAGAGTACTGCAGGGGCGTTTGGAAGGATTTGGGGAGCTAATGGTTACAAGAATGAAGAAAATGTTCTAAAACTGATGGTGGTGATGATTTGATTGTACAGCTCTTCTTGATGTGACTGAACTATTGAATTGTATGAGATGTGAATTATATGTCAATAAAACTGCAGGGGGGAAACATTACCCCTTTGTTTTAAGAGTAAAAAAAAATGTGCTTTACACAATTGATGTATGTATGGATTGTGATGAGTCATATGAGCCCCTAATAAAATGATTTTAAAAAATGTGAGTTATGAGTCTCTTGAAACGTCATTAAAAACTGAAGAAAGGCAAGAATAAGTACAATCTACCAATTACATTTAAATACTCATAAATTTAGAACTGTGTCTCATTTTGTCTTGGGTGAGACTGGCTGGTACCATGCTCTCATTGTGACAGCCATCCAAAGTCTGGATATGTTGTGGGAGTTGTCGTGAATTGCAGAGATCTAGCATAGTAACCCCGCGTTACCTTTTTCTTTCACGAGAGATGCATTTATTTATTTATTTATTTATTGCTGCTTCATAGATTCTCCTTCTTCGCCTGTGATGTCAAATGCAGAGTGGACTCAGGATGGACTGCTTGACCGCTCTAGGCCCAAGAGCTCATCCTCGTTTCAGCAAATGGTAGGAATTTCTGCTCTTTCCTTCCTAGCATTACCTTCATGGTTGCTCCAGCAAGATTCTTGCTTTCAGAATGCTTACAAAGGAAAGCAGCTGTCATTCCCATGTGAATATGTGGAACCCATGCCAATCTTTTCAAAGGAATATCTTGAGCTTAACCTCATGTTTGCTCCAATACCATAACTTAGTCAATAGTCAAGACAGTGCAAGACCAGGCTTACCTTCTTGCAGGAACCCCCTTGTTCAACTGCAGAAAACCACTCAAAAGTATCCTTTTCCTATCTTGTGTCTTGTACTATATAACTTGTTTGGCGTGGAGTTGCTTGACTAGTTAAGCTACCATTTAGTAACGTGTTTTGTGGACTTATTCTAATAGCATTTTTTGGAATGGGTATGTAGTTAACATCTGGTTTCTTCTTTAGTTTGGACTTTAGCAAAGATTCCTTAAACACACACACACACACATTTGATGCATTAGTCTTATCATTTATAGAACATGGGAAAATAATCGAAGCCATTAACTTTAATCTATGTACCAATTGTAGAATAAATAGAGTTGTAGTAGGAGAAGCTGAGTAAGCTGTGGTACCTCAGCTCCCCACTGTTATGCAAAATATTTAACAGCATGAAAACAACTTAATAGTCATAGAGTTACTGGTCCCATCATTTCAACCCCTGGGTGCATCCATCCTCAATATGTTTATATAATCCTTATTTCTATAGAATTCTCAGTATGAAAGAGAAATCAAAGTGCATGACTAACATAATGCTGTCAATATTTATGACACCATGTAAATCTAACCCATGTCGTTGGAGGAAAAATCAGCTTCTTTATAGTCCAATAGCTCTTAAATAATAAAGTTGACTTGGGATGATCAATCACAAAAATTCTGCTTACACATCTCTACCCTGATCTTTTAAATCATATCACATCTTCTTTTCATTTAGTAAGAATCTAGATGATTTGTATACCTGCCTTTGATTTATAGTTTGGATGTAAAGCTCTTGAAGAGCTCAGTTAACATGAAAATCAATAATGTTTATGTTTAAAGAGCTCTGTTCAGGGATGTTGTCTTCTCTTCTAACAATATTACCCAGCACAAACTTTCCTAAAAGATTTCTCCAAAGATGTTATTTGAGCATTACTGTGGGATGAGCCACCAAATTGCTCATGTGAAAATCTAAATTGATTTTTACTTCCTATGATTAGTTACTTACCTCCAAATTATTAACCCACAGTACAATCCTATAGCTGATCTCACACTGAAGCCTGAAGAAATAAAGAAATTTAGAGTTGCAAGTACACATCAACAATGTATAGAATCTAGCAATCTATTCTAATACTACGCACCCAGTTCCTGGATGCCTTGAATGAGCTACTGCATTTAGGATTCTGCTATTGTTTTATTTATTTTTTAATATACTAGGTTATGATTGCCACTGTTCCATTATGATAATTAATGTCTTGCAAGAACATATGTAACATTCCAGAATAACAATAATGTTGAAATAGTAAGAAAAATGAATACATTTAATTAATTAAAGGTAGTTAATTATTGGAGAGGAGTAAGTTTATAAAGCATAATTTTGGAAAGAATCTAAAGTCATACTGTTGATTCAGATCTACAGGTCTTCTGTCTTTAGATCAATTACATTATGGCCAATATCTAAGAGAAGAAGTGTACGTGACTTGAAGACATCCTCCAATGATAAAATACTATCACTTCTCAACACGTGGTTTTAATATTTCCAGATATATATATCCTCCTAAGTAGAAATAGACAACCACATGTGACTATGAACATCTGAAGTTGATCATTTTTACTTCATTTCCATTTTAAAAAATCAAAATCTCCTTTATTTGACATATTCTGTATCCACATATTCTCCCCTTTAGGATAATTGAATCTTTTGAGTTTCTTTACAATTGTTGGTTTTCAATAGAACGCTGAAGTGAATCCAAGAACTGGCTCTTAGAATTCCTTGGAAAACCTTGTACTCTTATTACTCAGCTTTCTATTGGAATGGTGAATCATTCCTGATTCTTTGTCTTCTCTGAGAGAATCCATTTCGAGGTAAATAAACAGACAATCTGAGTTTGATTCCTCCTTTTTAGAGGTGCTTATAGTTGAGCTTTCTCCCAAATGGTCCGTATTTTCCTTCATGTGTGAAGATCCCTTTGTTAAAGTTGAAGGGCAAAAAGAGGGATATGCAACCTGCAGTTCTCTCTCCTTACATGTTTGAAAGAAATCACGTATTGTGGCACGCCTTATAATTCCATGTCCTTGCCCTAGATTACCACCTAGTATCTTTATATCTAAGGACCCTGACAGTGCAATGGTTACATGTTTGGCTGATAACCAAAAAGGTCAGTAGAAGCTTAACCCTGCCACCAGTGATGTGCTCCTAGAACAAAAGACATGGAAATACTCAAAATGCACTACCATCAAGCCAGTACTGACTTATAGTGACTCTAAAGGGCAGAGTAAAACTTCCCCTGTGAGTTTCTGAGACTGTCACTCTATGGGACTAGAAATCAGCTGGTGGTTTCAAAGTGATGACTTTGCAGTTGGTAGCCTAATGAGTAACCGCTCCACCACCAGGGCAGCAGGCACAGTCTAGGAAGCCCTGTGGAGCAGCCTCACTTTGTTACATGGAGTTGCTGTGTGTTAGAATGTACCCAATGGCACATAACAACAATTATCTGGGTTCAATTATTTTTAGTATTTCTGAAAAAAGAAAAAAAAAGATGAGCAATTGGGTAGTGAATTATGAACTTGATAACAATATAAAACAGCAAGGTGGAAGGTCTATAAGCTCCACTCAGTGTATTGGAAACCCTATAAGGAATAACTGATACAAGATCTATTTATTTTTCATGCTTGTATCTAGCACTCATTCATTTATTCTGAACATACATTTATCAAATGCTACTCTGTGCCAGGCTCTGTTCTCAGATTGCAATACAGAGAAAAAAGCTTTCCTTCAAGTAAATGACCCTCTACTTTCTGCTCACCTGAAACCCCCAACAGATCCAATCAACAATAAGGATATCTTTAGATGTTACATCAAACTATAGGTACTTGTGGAATCTAATCATTCATTCAGGAAATGCCATGAGGAGAGAGAGTAGCAGATGACACATTTATAATTTACTCAATTGAAAATAGCCACAACATTTTGAAATTCTGAATATAAAACAGTAACTGATAATACAAGTACTCCCAAGAGCCTTTTACACATAACGTGAAGTACTATTTGCCCCTGTTATCGCTTCTGTTGCTTGTTCTTTTTTGTACTTTTACAGTGTGTTTTCCTCTCCATATGCAGAACAGAAATAGGGGGACATGATTGGTTACATGGCTACACTAGGGGTAGAACTTGTACGTGCCCACTCTTACACCATCCTGAAAGTGCTTTTGTTTGTTTGTTTGTATGTAAGCCTGTGATTGCAGCCACTGTGTCAATCCATCTCCTCGAGGGTCTGCTTTTGTCACTGACCTTCTAATTTTACCAACCATGATGCCCGCTCCTCGGAACTGCACTGTCCTGGTAACAGGGCGACAGTACATGAGGTGATCTCTCACTATCCTTGCTTCCAGTGAGCTTTCTGGCATTCCAAACCAGATTTAGTTGTTCTTCTGAGAGCCAATGGCATTTTCAGTAATCATCACCAACACCACAATTCAAAAATATAAGTTTCTCTTCAGCCTTCCTTATTTATTGTCAATCTCTCACATGCATCTAAGGCACCTTTTATATTGATATATAAATATGTTTAATGTAGAGAGGTATCTAACATGTTGATACAGGTTTAAGATAAAAACGGAACTGTTACTTTTTCTCAAAAGGATGGGTATAGATCAAAATTTCCCAAGTGCTTTTGGTTCAAAGAGTTGGAAACAGCAGAAACTAAAACAGATACTAGTACATCAATGTCCTTGGCAGTAGTTATTACTCATAATTGCCAAAAGTTTGAAACAGCCCATGTCCATCAAACATGAATGAACAACGTGATATATATACATAACTGAATATTATTTTGTTATTTATGCATTAAAAGTTCTGATCCATATTTCAAAATCAATGAATGCTTAAAACATAATGCTGGTTTAAATAAAAGG